AACACTATCAGTAGTTTGTCCTGGGAGCCCCAGTGATCTTTTAAGTCACATTAAGTTGTTTTGAGAATACTTCTGGATAGTATGCATCTCTTTAAACCAGCTTATACTGACTTACCTATGTTTCAAAGTCCAGTGTAAATGAATGTATATTTTTTCATAGTTAAGTTTCATATTTAGCCCTTATATTTGTTCAGCACTTCAAATTTTGGCATATTTTACTTACTGTGTGATTAGTGATGCATATAAGGTGAAATAACTTCATGATGGCACTGTGCTGGAAAAATCTAGCATGGGCTAAAATGCTAAACATCTTTGTTAACTATAGAATTAAGAATTGTTTAACTAGTTTCAATACTGAATACAGAATGAAGGAATTCTGTATGGATTCATTGTATACATTATGAAATCCTGCCCTGTTTATACTGTTTTTAGCATTTCCCTGTTCTTTCTGGATGTTTGAAATTATAACAGTGTACATGTTGTGTTCTAGTGGCTACGGTATATGAAAATATGTGTGTGTATTGAGAATTATTTTTACTAAACTTGTATTGTGAAGTAAGTTATGTATTGATCAGAAAAATGTATACATGTTTATCTAAATGGCAAGCACCAGAATATTGACTTGAAGGAGGATATTCTAGTAATTTTGGAAGTTAAACATGTGGGAGTGTTATCACACTCATAGCAGTGATGGCAAAAACAGGACAATAAAAAAAAAAGAGAAGACATGCCATAGACTGTAGCATCATAGAAAAGGAAAAGTCATCAGGACTTCAGCTAATCTGATGCACAATGACCATTTTTGTGGGCTTTGTGGTACTTCGGCTCCAGTTAAGGCTCGTAGTCTCAATGTCTGTGTGGCAAATCACCAGACAGTAGTGCTAGGAGGACTGGAGGAGATTTGCAGCCTGTGTCAAGTCTAAATTTATGGCCAAGATAAGTAATCCACAAACTGTAGTTATCTTTAAAGATCAGGGCATTGTTGCTCTCGTTCCAGAAAGGAATCCCTATTTGTTTTTCCAGTTCAGTTACACAGTGATTAAAGGATGGTATGTTAATGGAGGTATGAAATAGCCCACTTTCCTATCCATTGTAATTGTATATCCTGTGATCACTTTTCTTATATATCATGGTGGGGCATTATCCCACAGAACTTATTAGTGAAGAAGAGTTACTAGAAATACACCTAATGATAATCATGAAGAGTTGCTGGACAGCCCTACCAAATTAGAGCATGATGTATTTTATCTGTCTTGAACCCTGTAGATCAAGGCAGGGTGGTGTAGGGAAGAGCCTGAGCTCTGGAACTAGTTTTAAATACAAAAGGAAATTACCAAAATTTTGTGGCTTGCTCATTGCAGCTTAGACTAGTGGCAGGTTTGCATCCTGGACAAGGAGATGCTTAAGTTACCTTCACAGAAGGAAATGTGTCTGTGAGTGTAAAGCTGTTCCCTGACTGAAATGTCACATAACACTAGCTTAGGTGTGGTGCTGCTAAAATGCATCTGTACAGCTTTTGGACTTAGTGTAATGGGATGGTGTCTTTATGAATTTGCAAGCATGTACCTGCCATAAACACAGGGTCCCTGCACTGAGCCACAACTGTGGGCATTTTTCCATGAGGTAATGATCTTTATTGGTCTTTACATCAATAAATTGATCTGTGAAAGACGAAGAACTCAGAGAAAAAATGAGGCAGTATTTTTCTGCACTGGTAAATTTAACACTGGTTATGAGAAAATTCAAGCATCATAAACAAAGTTTTTGTTGAATAGTGTTATAATTGAAGTAATTTCAATATTGGGCAGTGCATAGGTAGTCAAATGAGTAGTTCCAGGTTGTGGGAGAGAGGGAGCTGACAGAAGCAAGAGCTCTTTGGAGCAAGAGATGGAAGGAGGTTGTTTGTTATACCTAAGGATTTCTTACTCATTTGAATAAGGGAAATTTAAATGTATTTAAGTGAGAAAATATGAGAATTTAGATAAAGAGGACCGGAAACTAGATCTGATCTAAAGCTTAAGGAGACAACTGGCCTGACATTTTACTTCTGTGCATCAGAAAGACATAATTAATATAATTATTTTAGGACTTCAGTGAAATCTGAAATGGTTGCATTCTTTTGAAATAAAATTATTTGTGGAGGAATTGTCTGTAATGACTTCATTTCTGTTACACCTTGACCCTGGAAAATAACTGATAAAGCCTAATTTAGGATACTAATTGTTAAAAATATTAAGCTATTTATTGGTTGGGGGTTTTTTCCCCCTGGAGTTCTGTAACTTTGTTCTGGCTTTTTAAAAATTAGTGGTAATTGTACTGGACTGTTTTCAGAGCCAGCTACTGTATTTTGTATCCATCAGCATCATTCCATTGGCTTGAATGAAATAATAGTGCTTTACATAATCTGTTGACCTAGCCATTTTCTCTTGAAAGCTTATCATCAGTGAAACAATAGAAGAAATATGCATAAAAAATACTAAATGAAATTGTCTTTGGTTGAAATGTTATGTAATAATTTTGCTTGTATAGTGTCAGTAAATCCAAATATCGGGTCACTTGCCTAGAGAAATCTTCATTTGAAGACAGAGAAAATTCAGTTCCCTGCAAAGCCAGTACCGTATCTACCTGTTCTGAGTCCACAATTTGTTCATAATTGGTGAGTGTAGGGCTTCCTTTTTTGGATGCTTTTAGAGCAATGAGAATATTTCATGGGAAACAGTTTTTTGGGTTAGAGAGGAAATAAATAAGCTGAATATAAGCCTTGGGTATTTTTCCATGGTTTTAAAATATCTAAGTGATACATTTGCACTTCTGAAGTTCAATGAAACCCAAACTCACTGCCTCATAGTTAAAAGTCTTCTACTTGAAAGCTTCTTTACTATAACTAGAACTTGACGGAGAATTCTGTCTAGGAGTCTGCCTAGGTACACTGATGCAGTAGCAGAATAGGCACTTAATTATTGCTCAGTTTAATTGAAGAGTTAGGATATTGATTTCTTTTTGTAGGATATCACATGACTTTTTCTCCCCTCATTAATGGAAGTATTACTGGACTGTAGCAAAATGAGAACAGAGGAAGGATCTATTGATCTATTTTCTTGTTAAAAGGAATTTGGCAGGTTTTATTTTATCTGAAGATAAATTCTGCTTTAAAAAAAAACAAAACAAAACAAAACAAAAAAAAATCTATCCATCCTGTTTTATATAGGAAGTTTTTTCCCTGACTATATTAATTTTTAAATTAAATTAATTTAAATTTAATTAATTTAAACTAATGCAATATTAAGGTCTAACTTTGTCAAACACTGAGCTTCTCCAAAGTGTTCTCTGACATTTGTACCTGTTTAAGTCAAGACAAATATGTTTCTAGATTATAGAGATGCCACCTATTTGAAAGAAATTTCCTAATGCATAACTATGTTATTGAGGCAAAGAATTTTAAGACCTGAAATCCTTTTATACCATAATTCACTTTTTTTTTCCAAAATGTAACACAAGAGCTGTAGTTTCTAGTTCATTTTTTTGTGTACAAGTTGGAGGCATTATCCTTGTTCCATTCCCAAGCTTATTTGAAATGTTCATATAACACACTTCTGGTATGTTCACTTACAACCTAGTGAATTGGAGAGTTGTTCTCCAAAGGGGTAGAGTAAAAAGATGAATATGATTTTAATAAAGACAAGAGAGAATACAAAAGAGAAAGTGGAAGTAAAGAATAAAGAAAGGAGGAATAAAGACAGAACCTTTTTGGTCTTGTCACTTCTTGAAGTAATCCTTGGATGTATTGGTGTGGTGGGGCTTGCAGCCCGACAAAGGTTTATTCTAGTTGCAATTTTTAAGTGTGTGTATGATCCTTCTGTTAAATGGGAGTTGCATAGCAGTACTAGGCCTGCAAAAATACAGCTGAGGATTACCTAAATTGATTGGGTTTTTTTTTTTCAAATGTAACAGACATTTTATTTTAAGCTTTTTAAAACAGTATATTTCTCAGAGCTAATTTTGTGATAAATAATAAGCTTGAAGCCAACAATCTCCAAAACTATTCCTTCCTTCTCCATATAATACTCCCAAAACTTAAACTTGCCCTAAACATTTTCAAATAATGTTGTTTCTTTGCTAAAATATGGATAGCTGTCTCAATAATTGATATGATCTGTGAAGGTAGATACTTTACTATGTGTCGAGTGTACTTAAGGTAAGGCAGTGCATTTTGCACTCCAAGCAGACATGCTCCTGCTGTGCTGGCCCACAGTCGAGTACGAAGGATAAGTGAGATAATCACATTGAGATTATTTAACTCTTCTGCTTATGTCACTTTTTTTTCATAGCTTGAAAACTAGCTTAAAAAGTCATTTTAAAAATTAATATATCAAATCAAACACTTCTCTAGTATCATGAGTTATCCAGAATTGTATGTCATTGAATTTACATGACCAATTTCTTAGTCCAACTTTGGAATAGGTATACACACTGCTGTTGAGATATTAGGGGAATGTAGGAAAGATGATTATAGACCATCACCAGCTGCATCAAGTGCATTATTGCATCTTTTAGTAGTTAAGCTTACAGATACGTGGTTCTTGCTTTTTTCAGGCTATCAAAAAGTGCAGCGTGGAAACCAAAGTTACTGTAACAAATCAATGACATAATCCAAATTAAATTTAAATACTTATTAATTTGTATCAAAGAATATTATATTTATATATCAAAATAAACAGTGGTAGAAATTAATAACTGTGAATTCTTGTTTTCCAATTCAGGTCAAGAGATGGAGAACTGAATTTCAGTTTCCATATGAAAAATAATATTATATGGATACTTGCATTATTCTGTCTTACCTTGATTATAAATAGTGGTTTAAAATCTTTGTATAAAAAGCCATGAGTGGTTTATGATTCCCCATATTGTGTGTCTCTGTTTTTAAGACATTTCAAGTCTTCAGGTATTATCTGATATAACCATTTCTTGCTAGCTCTGACAGGATTCGTGTTCTCTTTCAGGAGACGCTGATAGATTGGTGTGATGAAAAGGAACTTAATTTGATTTTAACAACTGGAGGAACAGGGTTTGCACCGCGAGATGTCACTCCAGAGGTGAGATAGTCCTGAAATAGAAAAATCTGCCCTTTGGTGTAAAAATGCATGAGTTTGGAGGGGGGGTGGTAATTTTTTTTTTTAAATTTCATCTGTAACTTTACTTTGCAGTATCTGTGGATGGGTCAAGTGCTAGACGACTTGGACTCAGAAAACAGTAATAGAAAGTATAGCACAAGAGAATTACTCTGACCTTGGGTTCTGACCCAAAACGATTTTCAAACTAAAATGTGGTATAGTGTAATGGCTTTCTAATCCTCTCACAAAACAAAATTCTAATGGCTTTGTGGCATAATATTCCTTAGCACTGCAGTACAACACTGCTAAGCAAAATCTTGTGTGGCTTTTGTTGTGTCTTGTGCAAGGAAGAGTGGGATAAGAGAGATGGATCTGCTTGTCAGAAAAATCTAAACAGGCACAGAGGTGGAGGTAATCTCCACCAGTAAATGTTGCTTAGGAAATTTGCTTACATTACACTTATATGAAGCTAAAGTAAGGGGGGAAAAATGAGACGCTTAACCTAATGACCTCATGACCATGAGTTGTCATGTGAAATGACTGCGTGATTGTTCCTGAAGTATTTTGTTATTTATGGTTCCAAATTAGATTAACATGAACCTTTAAAATTACATCTTTCATTTGGTGTGATTATGTTCTCTAAAGGGCAGAATTAAGATTGAGTGAGTTGTGTATATTTGCATAATTAAACATACCTAGATTTCTGTTAAGTACTCATGTACGTTTCCAATTTCTTCAACTCTCAAGTTGATTTGAGTTCTTTATAGCATATCTACAATGCTTTTTACTTACAAATGTGTTTTGTCACATGCCTAAAGTTCAATTTTTTTTTCCATTAGAAATTTAAAAGCATTTTTTAATTTATTGTATAACATTTGTGTAACTAGAGAAACGTGTAAACAAAATGCTCCTGTTCATTACTTCTGATGGAACTAGAAACATTGAGTAACTAAAACTTGGGGGGCAGTCTGTGTATCAGGAAATGGGAACAATGTTAAGATGAACACAGTGTGGTACCTAGTGAAACTGAGTTTGCAGATTATTCCCTTTGCTAAAGCCACCACAAGTGAAAAGTGAGTTGGTCAAATTAGTCTATTGCTTGCAAACCAACATAATGCTTTTGAAGGTTGTGTAACCAGGACTGTGTAGAAGGAGGGATGAATTTCTGCTTCAGTTTTCCTTTGTGAAGGGTCAAGCCTAGGTAGCAGTGCCAGATGAAGCATTGTAGCCAGTGCAAACAACAAGCAGCATTTGGGACAAAAAATAAACAAATGAGAACTCTGCACACAAACACCTAGTATTTTCTTTACACTGCATTGCTGTTATTCTAACTAATTAACACAGGTAGGAATGATTCTTTTCATCAGTTTTGTTGAGTAAGCCATTCTGAAAGTTATCTGAGTTGTTTCTGTCCCTGTAGAATAAAAACGCATTGAAACAAAAATCATTAATAACTTGTACTGAAGAAAAACTGCATTGTTTTTCACTTAATTCAGTTGGATTAACTTTAATCATAGTGGAGATATAGAATCCAGGTTTATTACAAAGTGGTGATGACAGGCATTGTTCCTATGATAGGATTTATTACATCATTCAATCAAACAAATGATTTTAAGAGAAGAAAATCAATTTGCCAGCATGTGTCATACCAAAAACATACTAAGAAGCCTAAGTTTTGTCCCCATATTTTATGTCTTTTGTGTCAATAAGAAAACCCAAAATGGAAAATTCATTATGTCAACATGAAATGTGCAATAACAAGCCTTTGGGAAGACTTGCATCGATGTAGAGAATGGTTTTCACCCCTTGTGTGTATGGTGTTGGTTCAGCACACCCTCATCACTGAGCTGACAATGAAAGGATGTGATCATGGTACTGTGCTATGGAGATGTCATCTTTAAGATGTTAATTTAAAACTTTTAAGAATTGAATTTGATAATGGAAAATGTTTTACTGTTTTTCTTTAGAATAGAGTCTGTTGAATCATACTGCCGCTGGTATGTTTCAGTCCTGCTTCTCCCTAATTCCCCTGTACTTTGAATTAGAAAGCAGGTTTTTCTGTTTCTTTCTATAGATATATAATTGTACATAAACAATAAAAGTAGTTCCCAAGAATAATTGCAACCCAAAGACTTAATGTTAATTGAATTTTGTAATTATTGATAAAATTGAAATTAAGTGCCTAGCATAATGTAGCTAAAAATGGTTTCTTGATACCTCAGAAATATGTAATTAAGCATCCCAAAAACTTAGTAGTTTCCCCACTCACTTTGCCTTTTGAACACCATGTCAGAACCATTCCAGATTACTACAGTTGTTTCAGTGATGTGTAGAAACATTTTTTCTTGTAATGGAATAGAAGGAATATTTTAGGAATATTCAAAATATCTGATTTTCCTTGCCTGTCTCTGATCCCTAAATTTATAGCCTCAGTCTAGTCAGTGTGGGGTGAGGAGCTTTTGAATTAGTTCCTACGATTCACATTTTGAGGGGCAAAGGCCAGTTTGCTTAAGCAGTGTGAATATCCTTCCCTTTCTTGACTGCACGAGTAGAAGTGATGAAATGCATATGGATGTTTAGAAAACCAAATTCACTCAATGAGTGGCTGAATTTGGAAGTGTGTGTTACAGGCGTTACTAGAGAATGCTGGAATTCTTAATTGTTCTGGCAGTTGGTGGTAGTTTGCATTTGTACTAAAGCTGAAGTGTAAGCCTCATTTTGTAGATACAACCCCTTTTTTTTTTTTTTTACAAGGTAATTTCACATATAAAGCGAGCAGGTTCCCAACAACACCGGAAGGCTGTTGTGTAACATGAGTTCAAGAAAAACAGGTAGAAATAAACCCCCTTTTTTTTTTTTTTTTTTTTTTAAACAAGGTAATTTCACATATAATTTATGGAATATTTTTTAAATCTCTGCTGGAGTTTGCTCATACAGTCTGCTTGTTGATTTAAAAAGTGTTTGTACTGGACAGAGGTCCAAGTGTGGCCCAAGTTTATTTAGGGAACTTTTGTTTTGTATTTCCAGATGTAAACATTTATTTCTTGGAACTACAATACTTCAGTGGTAGTTCTTACAGAATGGTGATAACAATATACATTAACTTTTGTGAAAAAAATTAAATCATGTTGCAGCATTTTCATCAATCACTAGGAATCCTTCTGTGATATTAATGTATTTTCTCTGTTGCTGTTGCTCAGTACAAAGGGAAGGAAAAAATCTCATGTACATGGGTTCTCTGCTCAGTTTTCTGTCTTGTGTATTTTTACTTTATTCTTTTGCAAAATTGTACATTCAAAAAATTCACTTGTCTGTCTCCTAACAGTCTTCTCCTCTAGATGTTTCCTTATCCTTTCAGTATGATTCTGTGCAAGTCTTGTTTGCCCATCTCTGAGACTAATTTTATGTACTTAGATAATAGCAGTGGAAATCAAGGTATTGTCCTCAGCTGATGATAGACATTCTTGAACTGTCACAATGTGTATTCACAAGTATTTCATCCACACTGCAGGTAATTTTGAGCCCTAAGATTTTAAGATAATACTTTATAAAAAACAGAGAAGAGCTGTTTTCCAGCATGTAACATCAAACAGATGTTTCCTTACAGTCATTTCGAGTGTTCTGGAAAATTTGTGAATCTTCTTTCAGTTCTTGCTGTTTATATTCTTCAATATTTATGGACTGGTTTAAAATGTATTTAGATACATACTTGTTTTCATTTAGTCTGAAAATATATGCATACTTATTTATTCTTTCATCAGAATTCTGTAAGAACTCATGAAAATAAATAATTGTTGACTGGAACTCCCTTCTATTTGTCAATGCTTCTGAAAAATCATGCTCAGGATGAGCAAAATACTCCAAACATATCACACAGAAGCCATGTTTGTATAGAAGAAAGTCTCGATTCTTCTGTAGTATGTCTTTTTATATTCAGTTCAAAATTGCACCAGCATTTTTATAATTATTGCCAAATGCAAATTTTCTGTCATTTGGCTCTTCCCCATTCTCTAAGATATCTCTCAGTGATTTTTGGTTCAAATTACATTTTACTTCTGCAGACTGTTTTAATATCTATATTCTTCCATTTCTCTGTCTCAAGATCTCTATTGTTTTCAGATTTTATGTGGTTTTTTTTTCCTGTTTGTTTGCTTCCAATTTAACTTTGTTAATGAAATTAGATGCTTATGACACAATGAGTTATGACACAATAGTCATGTTGTAGCCATACTCTCACAGCAACACATTCCATCAAAGTAACCCAAATCCACTGAGACTTAAATTTTTCAAATAACAATTTCCATTTAATAGGCAGCAACTTAAACTAGAAATAACATATAGGAGGTTTTTGTCCTCCCTGGTTCAAATACTGCCTTTCCAGAGCAGCAGGATTTCTACTATTGTTTGTTGTGGGTATAGGACTACTTCTATTCTTCCTCAGCGATATTTTATTACTGGCACTGGACCAAAAGAAAATAATTTCCATTTTACAAACTGTCGCTTCAGCATTGCTCCATAGTGTGGAGGAATGAAGCCTTCATCTCACGTGGGACATAAGTAATTTTGTGGTAGGAATAATATGAAATTGTACAATCTCTAATAACCCAGGCTAATGTTTCTGTTTTTCACCCTTCAGTATTCCAGGCACTCTCCAATTTAATAGCTATTTTAAGAAGCTATTTCTGTAGTCTCTTTTAAAACTGTAGCTTTTCATATCTCTTAATGGAGGTCTTGCTCTGAGTTAAGTTTGACTTCTGCGGTGAGCTACTGTATAACAATATGTGCTGTGTATGGATGACATCTGACCCTGTAACTTGCCATCAGACCTTTTGAGGCCTTCATTGTTCTTAGAAAATTGTTTTCAACCCAGCTTGCTCCTGAAGGGTTGGCATTGGAAAACCTTGCTACATGCATCTGATCAACAAAGGTGCTTACATGGAGCAGATTGCTCTGTGACAGACTCCTTCCAAATTCTCTGCTGC